CTTGTTTTTGCACCTGTCCAATAAGCAGCGCTAGTTTAAGCTCAAATACTTTGATGTGGGAATACATGTCAGATTAGTTTTCCCTTGCCTTGGAGCTGCAAGTTGAGGCGGTTTAAAATTTCTGACACATCTGTTAATAAAGGCGAGGTCCCATTTCCATTCTGTGTCGATCAGCTCTGGGACAGTTTTTCCCTTTGTCAGGAGAAAGGCATTGATTTCGGGTAGCAGGTCGTAAAAACGCTTCAAAACTCTGCCCCGGCTTAACCAGCGGACTTCAGTGTGGTAAAGCACGTCTCCGTGGGCTGATTCTAGCTCGGAGAGAAAGGCTTGGAACTGCCTGTGTTTAAGTCCGTTTGCTCTGATGAAGTTTATGCAGGACACAACCACCTTCATGACAGATTCCCACCTCAGAACTTTGCAGCTTGACGCTGGCTCGGTCACGATCAAAGTCACGTCAGAATATACCATTGTGTGAGGAGGTGAAGATGAGCCACTATTAACTATAAATAGCTCATAACTATGGTCAATTTTAATTAGAATGCCAACCTTTAAGTACGGATATGTTATGATGTTATGATAGGAAAATGCAATTTAATAAAAAGTGGTTGATGTTTAGAGGGATTGTCTGGGATCGTTAAGTGGGCCACTCCAATTGCTTTGGCAGGCCGGATGTGGCCCGCGGGCCGTAGTTTGGGGACCCCTGCACTATATCATTAATTCACTCTTTATTTATTCAACCAGATTATTGCAGCAATCCCTCTGGCTAGAGGCAGGGGAGAACGGAGACATATAAAAGTCATAACCCAACAACTAGATCAAGGTAAAATTACAAGACAAAAACAATCTGCAGAATCAATAACAAGGGTAAGAAAATAATTGTCAAGTTGTGAAAGTGAAATTTGTTGCAGAGATAAAAAAAAAATGAGTTAGATGCAGGTGGGGATTTTAAACAGATTCCAGTCAGCAGGAGCAGCATCAGCCCGAAAGGCTGTAAAACCAGCTGGGGTGTGAGTGAGTGAGACAGAAGGAAGGGAGTGAAAATGGAGCTGGGAAAGTAGAGGATGACATAAACATTAATCTAGACAGGTATGAGGGAATTGCACTGCTAAGGGTTTTGTAAAATATGATGTGCCTGTGTATTTTTGACGTTATTCTAAAAAGATGAGACAGCTTTATCAAGTTTGCATAGGTGGGTTCATAGTGTTACTATGGAGAATCTGTTTTGTGTAGTGTCAAATCTACTGAGTGATAAAGATGAAAAGTAGTTCTATAATCAAACAAAGAAAAATGATGCAAAGTACACAGATATCAAAGTAAACAGACTTTAAATCCCAGGCCATAATCATGTCCCATAACATGTTCATGATGTTTTATGCAAAATGCAGTTCAGTTTGCAGCAGAAGGTAATAAATCTCTTAAATTTCATAATGCAATCATAAGCTCGTGTCGCAGTAACTGCAACAAATACAAGGTGTTACACAGCTGGACTGACTGTCACAAGGTTACTTAAGGATTTACAGTGATGATGCATTATGATGCACTGTGGCTGGTTTGTGACACATTCTGTGACACATTGTGGAATGTTCTTTAACATTTTTTTTCTCTCTGATAATGCAGGTCATAAACTGAACTGAAAAATGTCAAAGTCATGTAGTTTTTAGTCCGTTGAAATGAATGTGAAATGTTGGATGTGAAGTTACACTTATTGTTTTGATGTAACAAAAGCCACACTAATGTTTCCCTGGTACAATTTCACTAGTTAAAGTGCTTTTTAAGCTGCATTTTTTTGTTGTTCAACAGATTTTGAAGAACTAATAGCTGTTTCCAGTGCTTCTGCTATAGACTTTAAACAGTTCAAACACTTGTCTTAAAAGGAGCCCTGGGGAGCGATATTTCAGTGAGTGTGTCCCTGTTTTGTTAGTATCTCCTGATCTACTAGCATGCACATGAAAATGAATGTGTACACTCGGAAGCACATGGATGACAAAGCGCAAATGTCTGGCAACCGCAGAGGGCAGGAAGGCGTTCAAGCCAAACTATTCCACTGAACATCAGTTGGTGGTGGTTATGTTCCAAGACATGTAGTACTGCACTATTAGAGAGGAAATGCAGGTTCACAATATTAAAAAGAAATGTTTTTGAAGTGTTTATGAGGAAGCAAAGGTATTTAATATAGGCCTCAAATATGCAAACGCTGAATGTAAACACTACTGTGTTTGCAACAACCTTTACCACCGCCTTGAACATTCCAACAAAAACTTAAATTTTCCTGAGATCTCTTATGAATCATCCATTTTTTCTTACAAAAAGAATGAAACGAAAAGCACGTGTAAACATGCAAGCACACTTGCATATCAACTTTCTGAAAGGGTGTTTTTTATGTGTGCTTGTGTTGGTGTTGCAACTGCTTGACGAGCTGTAAAAGATGATTCAGTTTTCTGAAGAAAAACTTTCTGCACTGCAGGAAAAAGCTGACATACCTTTAATACATCGCAATATGTTTTATACACAAGGACACTCACCAGCAGCTTCTTTTGAATTTTTGCCAGTTCCCTGAATGAGCCTCTTAAGTTTAGACTTTTCCCTTTACATTCATTGAAGAAGTGAAGGACTTGGATGGTTACAGTTTTTATCAGATAAAAACAGGTAGATGCCTTCTACATCATTTTATACACTATTATTTAAAATAAAGACAGACGGGTTAGTGGTTACAGCAGGTTTAAAGACTTAAAGAGGTTGCTCTGTAAAGCACTTACTGTAGGAATTCAGATTATGCCAAAACATTGCAGTTCTTTTTTTTTTTTCCCCATCACAAATTGCAAACATTCACATTAATTCAACCTAGCATTCTTATGTTGTTTCCTCTCTCTGTCTGCATGTTTTGCAGGGCCCATTCTTGGCCTTCGTCACTCACAGCTAATGGATGTCTTTACCCAGTATGCCTACAATGACAGTTTCTATGACAATGGAACATGGAGCTTCAACAAAACCGATCAAGAGCAGAAGCACCCTTACAACTACTATGCCATGCTGCTCACTCTGCTCATCTTCGTCATCGTCTTTGGCAACGTGCTGGTGTGCATCGCTGTGTCCAGAGAGAAGGCTCTGCAGACCACCACCAACTACCTGATTGTCAGCCTGGCTGTGGCTGACCTTCTGGTGGCCACACTGGTTATGCCCTGGGTTGTGTACTTGGAGGTGGGACAGCGAAGATGTACACACACACACACACACACACACACACACACACACACCCACACACCATTTACACACGTATGTATACTCTTCTTACATACTTAAAGAGATATAAATAAGCCGAAACGCCCTATGCAGCAGACATGCTCTCCCTATCTCTACACCCATAGCTCTTTTTCTCTCAGTGTTTATCTTGTGCCAGTGGAAATGCATTAGGAAACAAAACGGTTGTGATTTTCAGACTCGCAGAATAATAGCTGTAAAGAGATTCCAACCATATATGAGAGGGTGGGCTCTGAAAGCAATCAATACTTACTTGTTTTCGCAAAGAAAATTACCTATTTAAAAGACAGAAATCAGTTCAGCCTCAAAGAGTAAAAAAAGTAGCAAAGCACATTATTCAAACAACAGATATTTATGCCAAATCTGGTGAAAAGGGTTCCAGCCAAACCAATACCAACGGTGATAGTCTATTAAGTCAGAGGTCATGTTTATGAATTATTCCTCCTGACTCTGGAATACATCATTTTGCATTCACCCCTGTGTGGGATAAAACAGAGCTTCCTGTTAACCATCGCAGCCTAAAAGAGAATAGAGACTGAGGTCGAGCATAAAATCATCTCCAGTCTACCAAATCAATAGCAAGCAGGATGTGGGCTATCTTTCAGAAAAATATCTCTCTACTGTGTCTCTTTGCTCATTTCTTCTGTTAGCCTTCTCTGTCCTGGGGTTATTTCTGACCATCAGGCTTTAGGTCACGCTGTCTGATGTAGAGAAAGGCAATCTAAGACTACAGGGACTCTAATCCTCCTGTGTTTCTCTGTGAGTCATGATGATTATCACTCTGATCAGATTACAGTTTATAAATCCACAGGATGTCATGATGTCCGCCTGTTTCTTTCTATGCTTGTTTGTACATACAGCACAGTGGTGAATGGAAATGTGTCACTCTAGTAATCTTACAGAAATATTTACAGTTTCAGCAACACAGAATATAATAAATTACTATTCCAGCGCTGTTGCTGTTGCTAATAAACAAAAAATAATGTGTTTGTGACCATTGCCGCCGAACATCAGACTAAAGTTCGTATGCAACCTGCATACTGTGTGTTTTTTTTAACAGAATTTTTTACTTGCTTTCTTTGTTGGTGTGGGCAGCTGGGTACACTCTGAGGTAGCCTACGTCTTAACATTTCAGAAAAGTATGAGTTGAATTGTAATCAGCCACATGTCAAAGCTCCAAATAGCATAGCTGTAAAGCTTTGTGAATGACATATTCATTTTGGTATCATAGCAGAAAAATCTGTACAGGTGTGTGTTTTTAACTTTGTTTATTAGAGTGTGGTGAGTGCTGTGACAGTGGTGTTTCCTGTAACTTTATATTACTGTAGTCATACAAGTACAGCATCAGGTTACATTTCACTAGTCAGCTGTTCTCTTATCTCTGCTGGCATCCCCTGCTTCTTTCTGTTTGTCTTTGGAGAAACCCACTAGTGTCACACAGCCCTTTCCACGCAATGAGGACAGGATGACATCACTGTGACGTCATTGGGGTTATTTTCTCAGGTTTTAGAGAGCTGCGTGTAGAGCCACAGAAGACATTACAACATTACAACAACAACCACTGTTTTAAGAGGCTAATCTCCTTGTGATGAGTAAACTGACCATCATGTATACAGTAAAGCATATGCACACACACACGCACACACATATATGTTTAGGGTTGTTATTCAGGGTTGTTTACTGGGATAAATCATATTTAGATCACAAATACTGCGTCAAAATAATTTATGTGAGCCAGGGATTCCAATCTAGATCAGAAACTCCCAGATTTGATTATTATTTCATTTAGGTTAAGAATTGATTGCATTCATCCCAGCTGATCCTATGAAACTAACATAGAGCACTGCTCCATTTAAGCAGTTTCCAGTTTCTTACTTATGGACATTTTATCCCTATAGGATATTAATAACATTTTGGAAATTTGGAATTTTGAAATCCTGCATAGGTTAATATGCACAGACCTAAGATACCCAGCATGTGTTTGGAATAGAATGCTCATCTGATTTTGGTGTAGAGTGGTATATATCCTTGCAAATAAGAAACAATTTGGTAGAAGTGGGTATGTTGTTATTTCTGATTCTGCAGAAAGGGAAACAGTTAATATCATTCTGAGGCAAAGGTAAGCCAGTTTACAATAATATCTATATTTGCATTTGTGTTTTGGAAGTGAAACACCAGTTAAATGTGAAGCTCAGCTCACAACAGCTTAGCTTTGGCTGGGAGATTTTTTATTTATTCATTTTGCACTCTTCAAAACACACTTCTTCCATCAGAGACAGTCTAAAATTATGTTTGTCTTTGAATAAAGAAACTGACACATTTAGCAATTCTGTTAAGTGATTTTATTTGCCTCTTCTTCTTTAGACCTAACAACTATTTTTTTTCTTCATCTCTGTGCAGGCATTTTATTTTTTGAACTTGGTTCTCACAGACCAGAGTCGTGACTGAGTCTCTCGTGTTAATAATGTATCCACATGAAATAAAGTGAGAACATAGTCACAGAGTGTGGGCAGGGCATTAATCTTGACCTTTATTATTAAATGCTAAATTAGCATTAATTACCACAGTTTGTTTTTTTTTCTTTCTGCGAAGCGTGACTGATTTAGAGAGCATATGAGGGGGACATTATGCATGACTTTTTTTTTTAAATCAAGGCGGATAAAAAAAGCACTCCTTTTGGATAGTGGAATTTCATGTCAAACGGAAAGTCATGTTGAAATGAAACTTTTTTGTGGTCAGCCGCAGCACACATCTGCTCCATAAAGTAACTGTACTCTCCTTTTGGGGAAAAAAAAAAAAAAAAAACAAAAGCAGCAATTCATATTTCATACTTTTGGATATCATGATAGTGTCCCTTATCTTTGCATTAATTCCATGGAATTTCATCAGACATTCATTTTTCAATTCAGTTCAAATCCAGTTTCATTTGGACTTCAGAACTGGGTTTTCAAGACCAGCAAATGATGTAGTTCGTAAAAGAAAGAAATCATCAATAATATAAACAACAATATAATATACTAAATGTTCCAAATATTATATTTCTAAATGTATTATGCTCAGACAGTAGTCTTGTTCAGATCATGAGAGACTGGAGAAGAAACATTTATAGTCAAACAACCACAAAACCTGTATAACACAGTTAGAAATAATCAGAATATAAAACAGAATTAAAACAGAATTAATAAAAGCTATTACAGGTCATTAAAACATCATGAAGTAAAATTTTGGAAATTTCCAAGGGAAATTAAAAATTCAAGCTTACGGTGAGAGCAATTCACAGGTGATAATGTTAAAATGGTGCATAATACATGAAAACAGTTCATGCCTATATGTGTAATCTAAGGTTTGTAAATGGATATCATGATATGATTGTCATTAAGGAAGTCCATCCAACGTCATAATACAGACCTAAATGATGAGTAGTATTTGTCATATGTCATTATATATTATCTCTGAAGTTATTTTCATGCATGCACTTTTGCATTTCTGCAATGAATAGAACTATACTGACCAGGTTTTTTGTTTATTATTATTGTTGTGAAAACCATGAAGACAGCTGCATTTTAGATGAAAGAGCAGGGTGCATGTGTTTCATTTCACCCTGATTTTAAATTGCACGTTATAGCCACTGCATCACCGCATTTTCAGGTTCCCAACATCCTACCTTTGCAAATTAAATCAGAACACTGATACTTTCTGAATTATGGTCCTATGCACAGTCTGAAGTTATAAATCAAGTTGGAGAAGTGGACAGGGTGTGTGGAGTGAAATAGCAAGGACAAAATTGAGAAAACAATTTCACTGAATGACAAAGTGATTTTTTTCAATTTTCTCAGATTTTGGACCCCACTGTATATCCCACTGTTTAATATCCACTAAATATGCCTCCCTGCACTGATAGAAATAGGCCTGTGTTGCAGCCTTGCAGACCTGCAATGGCTCTTATGAGGCTTTTAAACTTGTTATGGGTTGCAGCACTGATGAGGATGTTTAAAACCTGTAGGGTGACATATAAAGATCAAGAAGAAGAAATTGAGTGATGGTAGTGAAGGAGAGAAACAGGCAGACTGCATGGACAGAACAAGATGATAGTATATAGAGATACAGAGAAGACAAATGTCAGGAGCAAAAGGTTGGAAAAATGCAAAAAGAAAAAAAAGAGGAAAAGAGAGGGGAGGCTGCAACAGGGAGAAGGGCACTCATTAGGCTGTCAGATCATCCTGCAATCACTGCGAGTGTTGAGGACACAGGCAACAACATAAGGCTCTTTGAGATGGCACTTAATTTTATAAAGACACAGCCTGGGGACAAAGATTAATCAGTCACAGAGAGGTAGGAGTTGCCCCTTGACACACACATCTCCCTTACCCTTTTCAGAGCTGTGGGAGGAAGCCGGTGGGCTGTAGTGTCAGGCGAAGTGGGTGGAATCAAACCAGTGAGAGCATCACTGATGATGTTGGTTTCATCATGGGGTTTGACCATGTAACAGAGAGCAACAGAGGTATGAATACAAATAGGTTTCGATCTTGTCTTTGATTGAGAGCCACCTAGGGCAGCAGACCAGGATGCATGCTAAAGGATAATTATCTCACTAACACTGTGGGTGTGTATAGGTTTTTTGTTGTTTTGTTTTGGTTTTTTTTGCAAAAATCTATAGTGTTTAATACCTACTGTTGTCAGTGAAAAGATGTAAAGCAATAAAGTCAGATAACCTGTCTTTTGCCACCATGTCAGGCGTAACATTCTTTTAATAACATGAACATGATTATGCATGCTGTAATATATACATGCCAGCTGTCTTACAGTTCATGCCCAGTCAGTCTATTTTCTATTAGACCCTACTTACAACTACTACTTACCTCTCAGAGCATTTTCTTTCATGCTTATTCATTTTAACAGCCTTCATTCTTCTTTGCCCCTTATGTCTCCTCTCTCTCTGTTACCGGTTTGGAACTAATACGAAAAAATATACAAGAGGGCTTGACTGTCAGGATTGCTTTTTGTTGCAAAAGAAAAACACATCATTTCTGCCAAGGTGCTGCCTTTTCTGGGCAAGTGGCTTTGTTCTGTTGACTGTTGCTGTAAACTGCCATTTGTTGATGTTTTTTTCTCTTCTAGGTAGTAGGAGAGTGGCGCTTTAGCAAGATCCACTGCGACATCTTTGTCACTCTGGATGTGATGATGTGTACAGCCAGCATCCTCAATCTCTGTGCCATCAGCATTGATCGGTGAGTTTGTCACCGCACTGATTGTTTAGTCCTGTCTGTCATGCTTCCTGCATCGATCCTTAATGGAAATCTTTACCTTTTGAATAACAGAAGTCAAAGCAAGTCAAATTTATTTATAAGGAACATTTAAAAAGAAATTGGTCTAAACAAAGTATTTGTGTGGAAGGCGATATTTTTAACCGTCAAGACCATTGCTCTTGTGTTATTCTCTTCAAGGCTCTTTTATATTAAGCTCCAAACAGCACTTAAAATGTAAGGAGTACCTCAGGATACACTCTTACCCCAACACCCTTTGGTAGCTCACCAATACTAAACTGGTAGCTTTGGTTTACAACAAACTTTTGACACCAAAACACCCCCAGTGACAAAAAGTTGGGAAAATGATTTTAACAGCTTTGAATAAATACACAAATAAAATACCAGTGCATGACAGCACCTTATGTCTTGTCACAAGCCCTCATCCTCCTGAATTCATTAATGTCTCGTCCAAAAATTAATTCAATTCTTTGGTTATGACTCAGTGGTTAATGACACGATAATCACAAACAGCTGAAGGAAGCAGAATTGCACTGGAAAGCTGTTCATCTGAAGGGCATGTAAAGCTTGAGCTTTTAATATTAAAACTGTAACAAATAATCATGTAAGGTTGACAACCAGAATATGCATTGAACGTGTGAGAGCTCGGTATATTGTGCACAAAGCACTCACGGATAGGTCTGAAGAATACCAACAGCATAACATTTTTCTCATATTTTCATCTTACAGAATTCTGTCATGTTTAATTTTGCATTATTTTCTGCTTGGCTGCATTTTCATCTTAAATCCATATGGAAAATAAATATTCACAATATATAACACATGGAAACAATTGCAATTCATTCCAATGATTGAATTAGGATACAAATGGCACTCGTATGTGAGGAAAAGCTTATTAGTCTGCATAATCTCATGGTAGATCATTTTTTATGTGTGTGTGCATGCCAGAGTGAAATAGCATCCAATTTTACATTTAGATATTATTTATACATCTTGTGCCTTCATGCTGTGTACCTTTGAATACTGATCACTGACAGGGTGAGTATGACAGTATCAAGCATCATTTTTCCTGGCTTGAGTACATTTCAGGGTCCACCCGTGTGGCGGTGATTTGTAAAGGTTCAGATAAGAGTCGCAAACAAAATTTGTTTCCCTTTATCAGTCCAGCAGCTCCAGGCAGCAGCATAATTTATACATCAAAGGATTGTTTATTTTCTCTGCTAACTTTGTTCTTATTTAACATTGTGGAGCATATTGGAAAGTGATCACATAACAGGCTCTATTTTTGTGAATCTGTGTGCAAATTCAAGTCAAAACTAAGGGAATATGCACATACCACTATCATCAATTTCTTTTTGGTATTTTGTGACCACAGGCTGGAAAAGAAGTTAGTTAGTTTTTCTGTTATTCAAAGGATGAATACATTATAAGCAATTGGAGCTGGGGTGCCCTCCAACAAATCAGCTACACTTCTTCTTTAGAAGCAGGAGACTAATGGACCTAAGACAAAACTGTGTTCGTGTAGGAGGTGATATGAATATACACATGCCAAATATGATTTAACAGAACTCCAATTATGTTGCCAAAAGGCAGACAGTTTTTGACTACAATTGGACGACACTTCCCTATCACAATGCTTTCAGGTTGTCATAATGTGCACTTTAATATTTTACAAGACAATGATGTCAGAGCGGTTTGGCTTCAACTTTAGTGACACGTAGCAAGGCAAAATATATTCTGTAATTTGTATGTTGGTAATTCAATCTGTCATATTTGAATGTGTTTACATACAGTACACTACACCAAATACAGTGAGGAAAACTATTGTTTGAAAATGTCTGTTTAAACTGTGCACATAATTACATAAACTCCAGCTCTTCCATAAATATCACATAAAGTATGATTGTGTTATTCTTCCTATTCCTTACTTGAAGAAAAGATGCCCAAAGAGTTTTACTACATCTAGAGCGGTTTTAGCAATATAACCTAATAAATCTGTGCCAGATAGAACAGATTTTTTTTTGCCACTTGAGGGCGATATGATGTGGCGAACTTGATAGCAAACAGTTGCTTGTTTACACATTCATCAAAATTCACTTTCATTTAGAGGGGTATTTTGGGCCACCTGGGAAATGTAAATCCGTTATTAATTTTTTAGCTCTGTTTTTGGTCTTACCAACACCTGAAGGGAATATCTGTCCCTTTAGCTGCTAAATGCTTCAGGTGGTAGGTGCTTAGCTTGTAATGAGCAGGTAGCAGGTGGTCAAAAACGACACTAAGAGAGCGGCAAGACTGGACCAAAACGAGACCAAAATGAGCTGGAACTGCATAATGCCAAGGGAAGCTGTCCTGCACTGTAAAAAGCTGTGCATTTCCTGGTGACTACAACAAGCTCACTAATAAGGTCAACCAATGTAGCAAGGTTAAATGATAAGGTCTTTCCTGTGAGACGCTGGGGGAAAAAACACAGGCTCCCTTCCAGGATGTCATCTTCATGTAAACTGCAGCCCACAGCAAATAGCTTTTTCCAAAGGGCCAGTCCACCATCAAACAGGATCTGATCCAAGATGACAGGCAACATTTCTTGCTTAACCAGCTTGTAGGTTCCATGTTTCTTGGTTCTCATTCAAGCAAAACCACATCCACTGATGAATAAAGAGAAACATAGTGGAGATACATTTAACTGTAGATCATTAAATCGAACATGAATTAATCTAAATCATACAGACGTATGACAATATTTTTGTTGAACTTGTCATACTTTCCCTAATGTCTTGCAGAAAGGTGTCATATTTTCATACTTTCTAACTAAAGCATCTATTTTTTTTTTCACCCCTTACAGTTACACAGCGGTTGCAATGCCGATGCTGTACAATACTCGCTACAGTTCCAGGAGACGGGTCACAGTAATGATCTCTGTGGTCTGGGTACTATCTTTTGCCATATCATGTCCCCTGTTGTTTGGCCTAAATAACACAGGTAAGAGAGGTCACAGTACACATCTGCTCTACTGTGCTCGAAACAGAAATGTTTTTTCATGGTGTTTGACTGAATTGGTGGATAGTGGTGTTGTACTGTATTATCCATTGGCACATCCACCGTACATTACAGTATGTACATTGTAAATACGTATACATCGTGAATAGTTAACTGACATCTTCCTCTAAATGCTTTCCCGTATCTACATTAATATTGTACTGAAGCAGTATGTTAGTCAGAGCCTGTTTGCTGTTACTACAGAAGTGAATACAAGCTTCTACATTTTCTGAGGTTTTATAGACTTACCCATGCCAGTTACCGATTACTTAATACTGGCATGTAACCACCTTTAGTGAACCTTGGCCCTTAGGTTGCTCATTCCACAGAACAGGGGCTTTAATAGTGGATTACAGTTAAACCAGGTTTCGATTAAGAGCTTTTGGAGGCGCCAACTTGTTGCTGACCAGCTCCCACGGCTTGCATCCTGTCACTTTGAAGCTCCACTCATCCCTTTGAGTGCCTTGATGTAATGTCAATTTTGCCGGGACTCAGGCGTTTGGATTTGTCAGCCCCACTACCGCTTCCAAGCAACTGCAGATCCAGCTAGTGTAAGCTGCAGAAGGCATGAAAGCAGATATCTCAGCTGCAGTAACCACTGAAACTCAAGCAATTAAGATTTGTTTTTAAGCTATAGCGGCTCATGTTTAAAATATTTGTCTTTAGCTGAGAATGAAAGCTTGTAGAACCGTGAGGTTTGTCAGAGGTGTCTGCTGATGCCTTCAAACACAGATCATGACAACCACAGATTTGTGTAGTAAAAGGAATGCAGTGTATAGTTCTTTTACCCAAAGCACTATATAATGTGTCTCTCATTCATCCACACACACACACAGTCACACGTTCGTGTGCATGCAAGTGTGAGTGTGTGTCATCTGAATAGGGGTTCAGTGATGTGTTGAAGGCAACAAGTCTAATAGGTGTACCAGCGTACCAGTGGAAGGCGGGCAAGAGCTTTGTTGTCATAGTTACAATAATAAACACATAGTTAAGGTTATGGAACGGTCACAGTTTGGTTAGCTTTAGGGAAAGATCATGAATTGGGTTAAAATAAGTGCCTTGTTAATGTTACAGTACCTTTGTTGTCATGGTTACAGTAATAAACATGGTAATGGTTGTGGAATGGTAATGGATAAAAGAAACAAAACTCAGTTTGAAACAAGGAATGAAGAGTGCTCTTCCATGTCACTGATGTGTATTTTGCCAACCCCAGATTTACCCCAACCTCAACCGTTTACCTCCTGTCAAGTAAACTGAATTTCATATGTAAAATTGGTGTGCCCCTTTAATGAACCACTCCCAACTTCCTGAGGCACAGCCACCCTGAAGTGTGAAGAAAACAAGTTGTTAAGATGAACTACACATGTGACACCTACAGTAAATCCATGATGACTCATGGATTTACCATGATGACCCCAATTCAATGCTGTTATCTATGCTTGTTTGGCAACAGCTGCTGCCTAATCTGAAGCTGCCTTCAGGGTCTGAAGTTTATTTGGTCTGTGTTTGACTTGAGTCTAGGAGCTGGACAGACAGGACAGCTCTGAGACCTGTCACCACACCAGAGTGCACAGGGAGGTAAAAAGTCAGTCATGTAACTTTGGGCAAATTTGGCACAATTTAAAAGTAAATCAGTGAAATCTAAAATTAACAAGCAACCAGTGCAGAGTCTAAAATAGGGGTGATATGATCTCTACATTTGGCACCAGACAGAGGCCCTGTGGCAGCAGATAAGCTCAGAGAGAGGTAGGTAGGAATAAAAAGGATTGCAATGGTTTAAGTGGATGGGAGGATGGGAAAGGAAATTGTGTGAATGACCTCCAAGTGAGGAGAGTGTAGGAGTGCTTACATTTTTTGATGAATTTTCAGGAGATTAAAATCAAAGCACAAACCGCTGCTTCTTAACTGCAAGTTCAAGCCCAACTAAGCTCCCCATTTTAAAAGTTCCAAGAGTCACACTGACAAAAACACAACAAAATTGCCCTAAAAAAAATATTTTTGGATGGAACATAACATCCTATCTGAAGTCTTTATTCAACCTGTGCTTATCTCCACAGCTACTCGTGATGAGTCTCTCTGTGTGATCGCCAATCCGGCCTTTGTGGTATACTCTTCAATCGTGTCCTTCTATGTTCCCTTCATCATCACCCTGCTGGTTTATGTGCAAATCTATGTGGTCCTTAGGAAGCGCAGAAAACGTGTAAACACAAAACCAAAGCAGCGTGTCTGTCAGGCTGCTGACCCTGATGGAGCCACTTCGCTGAAGGTGAGGTGCCTTGGCAAAATATGTCCTGTTCACAGCTTACACCTATGTTGCTTCAACATGAAAACTGATTTGCACCTTAATCACACCTTATACTTCATTATTTGTATAAACACTTTGTCTTTTTCAACCAGTTTGAAAAAAACAAACATCAGAACATAAAAAAAAATCCTCTTTATGAAATTGCAATCGATAATTTCTCAACCCAATCATACTTGGTGGTTTAATGGACAGGCATTGTGTTACATAACAACATACACAGACAAGAAGAGGATTGATTTTCTGAAAAAAAGCAATGGATAACATTCAAGGCAAGGGGCTAAAAGGGCAAGGCTCCGTTATACCTAAAGGATTCAAAGTGTTTTTCTCCCTTTATATCTAAATGAAATGTCCCGTAACTGGTTCCATCCTGGAGAACATGTATAATCTTAATGTTACATTTACTGGTACTTGTCAGTGTCGAAAGCCACCACGCAACACTACCTGTGACAGCCCTCAAATGACCTTTTGCTTTTCTGGTTATTGATTTTACTGACACAGTGAAACTCAATGGGCTCTGCACAGGAAGCCAAGTAATGCCTTTTATCCAGTGCACTACATTACTCATGTTCATGCATGGCTTTACTCTGTGGTTTCTGTGTGTGTGTGTGTGTGTGTGTGTGTGTGTGTGTGTGTGTGTGTGTGTGTGTGTGTGTGTGTGTGTGTGTGTGTTATACAACGCACAGATTACTATATAATTACTGATCTGTGAAGTCTTTATATGCAGCAGCATATTGACCGATAAGTTTCTCACATACTGTTAATTGCTGGATGTGCTTGTTTTGTCTGAAATAATCTTAGCCCACAATTTTTTTTTTCGCTGTCAGGTTAATTGAAGCTGCAGGTCAGATTCTTGCTAAATAGCCTTTCTGTACCAGAGCTCAATGGAGCCTCATTGACCCCATGGGCAGTGGGACCTGTGCCTTGACAACCCTTTTGTCAGTTGTGCTTTGACATTGTTCCCTCTCCTTGCCTGACACAGCTGCTTTCATTTCAGGATAAGTGCACTCATCCAGAGGATGTGAGGTTGTGCACCATGATTGTTAAATCTAATGGGAGTTTTCCTGTCAACAAAAAGAAAGTGGTGTGTGCTCTTTTTTTGTTCCTTTGTGTACAGCTCTTATTTAGTAGAAAGTTTAATTGTTGGAAACATATTTGTAAAAGTTTTAGTAAGGTGTCACCTTGAAGTTTTCCTCCATTTCTCAGAGAAATTATAGCTTCAAGGCACTGTTCTGCTACAGTAAATCAAAATTAAAGACTGAAAATGTGATCATCTGTTATCTATTTATTATCCATTATTTTAAATGTCACCAATTGTACAATAACCTAAATGAAAAATGACCATCTGAATGAAATTGCTCAGATTTTCATCAAAGATGGAGTCAATGAGGGGGAAGATCTGGAGCTGGATGAGCTGAACAACAGTGGCAGCAGCCAGAAACAGAAGCAGCAGCCACAGTGTGCGCTTGGAGACACTCCAGCCACGAGCCACCAGCTACTGATGCCCAACAAGGCTAATGCTAGCCCCACCTCCTCGCCTCCCACTCCCCCTGAGGAGGGCCAGAAAGCAGAAAAGAATGGAGATCCTACCAAGGAGGGCGATCCAGCACCTGTTGTGGCCAAAGCCTTCCAGACACAGGCCTTACCTAATGGCAAGACCCAGACCTCTGTGAAGACCATGAGCAAGAGGAAGATCTCCCAGCAGAAGGAGAAGAAGGCCACTCAGATGTTAGCCATCGTTCTTGGTAAGTTGGCTCAAGTGCTGCTAATTTTCTTTTTCTTTTTTTATCTCCCATCTGGTATAAATTATTTATGATCACTTATGCTGAGGATAAGTTAAATCAAACACTGTTTTATGTGAGTATACACATCAAAGTGGAACTGACACTGTGGAATGAATCATTTCCGCAACCAAATAGCTATATTTTTGTTATCAACTTTTCACTTGTAAAACAGCATGCAGTGAGCACAGCATCAAACCAGCAGGGGACTCTGTTCAAACTCATTAAGACCAAATATGTGTTTGTAGTACAATTTACCACAAGCTAATCCTGTAGCCTACAATTTAGAAAAATGTTTTTCTTTTGTACAAGCTTCCAGCCATCTTAGGTCCTTGGCTTCCTCCGCATGTATTTTTATTTCCATCTCAAATTTTTTGGTATGACCTAAAACAGAACTTGAAAACAAGTCAGGATGTGATGCAACGAAAAGAAATCATCCTGATACTTGTATTTGAGAGTCCAGCTCCTCCATATGTCACCCAGATTTGGGTGTCTAATATAAGACCTTCCTTCTTCATCACTTTCCTCTCTTTCTCTGCCTTTTTCTAATATTTCCATTTTTTTTCTCATATCTCCTCAGGTGTATTCATCATATGTTGGCTGCCGTTTTTCATTACACATATCTTGAACACCCACTGCACAAAATGCAAGGTTCCTGCTGAGATGTATAATGCTTTTACATGGTTGGGCTACGTGAATAGTGCTGTAAATCCCATCATATACACCACCTTTAATGTCGAGTTCAGAAAGGCATTCATTAAGATCTTGCACTGCTAAACTGCAACGTCACTTGTCTCATCAGACTGAGGGAGGAGTGATGAATAAAAGCATCTCTTCTGGCAAATACCTCATCCTGCTAAGGAAAACGAACCACGGGGGGGAAACTGCAATCTGCTTTTTAAAATTATGGAGCTGAGTGACCAGAAAACTGATGGTGTCTTACTTAAAGACATGTTGGCTCTATATGTGAACTGTTTGTGGACAAATCACTGAATGTAAAACAAGAAATGTCTGTAACAATGACTTGTTTCATGGAGAAAAGAAAAATGTAACATTGTTCTCTAAAATCATTGTGCTTGTCACGTAAGGAGCCATCTGTGTATACCACACACATACAAGTTGGAAACTGCTTTTTATTGTGTGTGTACTTTATGTTTTGATGATGGAAATTTTCTGGAAATCTTATAGATATCAAGTCAGTGTTCATTGCAGTGTTAAAACTGATACGCGAGCTCTTAATCTTAAAACCTATCACTGATTGGAATGTGTATTCAAGACAAGAGACAATTTATTTGCTGTATAATGTGGCAATGTCAATATCCACATATTTGCAATTTTATAAATTGATAAATCATATATTATTATTATCTCTATATTATTATTATTATTATTATTATTATTTGCTGTACATAGTTTTTCTTAACACATTAACTGTGATTATATGCCTGCAATGGAAATGTGATGCATGCTACACTGCTCCTTTACTTGACTTCTCATGAAATGTATGTTTAACAAAAAACTACAAAAGATGTCCTATAAATGAAGTTATGAGACACTGTAAAGTGCCACATGAATATCAGTGTTCGCTGTGTGCATACAGATACCCAGACATAAACGACTTGTCATTATTCAGCAACCTCTCTCTTACACCCAGGATTGGTTTGCAGTTGAATAATGTTGTTTACTGGAAGTAACTATGAGCGTTGCTGCAGTGGAGTTGTTCTGTGGCAAACTAATGACCTGTATGTGGACTTTGCAGCTCCCAGGTATATAATCATGTGGATGTGTGCAATCCCTGAAGCCACTCCCGGGAGCCTTTGCTAAGTAAGAATGAGGTGAACTTGGCAAAACTGAAATATCAGTTACAACAATATCAGTGTGTATTGTTTTGGGCAACAAAGCCTGCATTATTTTCAGTTCAACAATAAAGACATTATTATCAACAATGTCGTGTTAATGTTTTGGTGAATATTAGCCACAAAGTACTATAGCTTAAGTGCGATCACAAAACTCTGTTATAGACAAGAAAATAAAGCCAGTGATAAAAGAGGAATTTTTTCATGGTGGAATATTTTGGGAAACAGTGTGCAAAAGACGTGCACATCTCGCTGCTTCCCAAACACCTGCAACTCTGTCTGGCTATCAAATGGACCCACGTGTGTGTCATTAAAGAAACAATTCCCCATGTTAATTTGCATAGTACCACTTATATTTTAGTCTGGCTTTGAAATGTGAACTGGTCCTTCCCCAGGTGGAAGGACTAAGATTTTTTCAGTGACACACACCTGAGTCAGTTTAAGACCTCTGTACATGATGAAGATGTAATAAAGTTACCTGTTTTTTAAAGGCAGCATTGTACAATGTTGAGTCTTTGGGAGACCAACCGCAGTGACAAAGGTAGCAGAAGGAAATGTTGTTACTTTTCAAGGCAATTCATCACTTGCAGTGAGTGCTGATGCTGATGCTGATGCTGATGCTGCTGTTGTTACACTGGAAACTCAGGAAATGCAGAGTTTAGCTGTTTTTGTTGTGATGTGTTCGAATCAAAAGAAAGCAAACTGTTTTACACTGAATAGATGTCAGAAGACCTACGTTTTCTCCAGCATCACATCTACAGAGTGGGAACTAGCTCATTAAAACACCAATTAATTCCATTTGTCTACCTATATCCTGTGGAGCCAACCTTATACTGAAGTGATTTATTTGTAAGTGGTATTGATCTTCTCATCAGCCACAAAGTGAATAAGCACATTTCCCAGAATGTAAAACCATTCTTTTACACACCGATTTTAGTTAGAGTATAGTTATGATGAAGATTATTATATTTTCAAACCCTGACCCTAAGGATTTACTCAGTAGCAGTTGCATCTTTTTCACTGGTGTACCCTACAGGGAATACAAACTAGTGTAAATTCCTGACTGCACCTCAAAAGTTTCTAATCTCTTCTAATTTCGTCATTTCTTTGTGGTAAAACAACAGAATCAGTAGCCGGGGTGTCAGATTCATTGTGTCCCTTTGGGCTACATCTGATTGATGTGATGTACCTGATGACACAGCTTAATGAACTTGCGTTATCTCCTAGGACATTTGGATTGTATTTGCCCCCTGGCAAACACGATCTGAGCAAACCTGTTGTGGAAGAGCCAAAACAACAAAGAAAAGAAAAACAATCATTTGCATAAACACAGCCAATGAAATCTTGTGCCTCATGTTTCAGTAAATATGATTATATTGTGAAGCCAGGAGGAAAAACACTTTACCTTATATATCCATGTGCAAAAAGCATATCATACTCAGTCACATGTAATCCTCTCACAGCCTGCCTTATGTGCCTGTTTTACTGGCATAGATCCATATATGATCCATGTGCATTTTTTCAGCTATATATGGATCTTCCATTGTCCTGTGTGACACATGTATGTATGGTATTCCCATAATAAAATCCCTTGGGGGAATTTCCCACACCAACGTACTGGACCAGCACCAATCATCTTCGGACACATTCTCTTGTGCTGTTCTTGTGTTCATAATAGCTACTGAATCATTTTAATTAGCAGCTGTACACATTAACACTTTCTAAGTACTATTATTTATGAATTATTCTAATTTTCTGGCTTGTCAACTAAAAACAAAAAACTGATCATGCAGTACATGTATAAAACTATGGTATAGCTGTTACACACTCAATTTTCATGTTTGATGATTTGGACGGTCCTTACTATTTCTATCTTTTAAAGCCCTGTTTTAAATTCTTGGTGTCTTTTTTGGGTGTGTAAATTATTAATGCATAACTGTCATTGACATGTATCTGAATTTAGTATCAGTGAAAAATTCACTGGAGATTTAACACCAGAATTGCATCTGAATTTATGAATAATTAAGAGCTTGTTAGTGTAAACACAGTGAATGCAAGACTCACACACTGTAATTACCGCTGACAAACACAGGCACACAAACAAAGACACACCGTCACACATTATATAAGTACTGTACGTTCAATGGTTATTCTTCACAACATAGAGGAGCTTGAATTGTAATGTAATCTTTTTGTACTCATACTTTTTGTCAGTGTATAAACAGCACTGGTTCTGATCCCTCTTTTATCATAGTTGCTGCAGGGTACCACCATGTCTCTGATTTAATTTCTGATTACATCAGGGGAAATATCTGAACGCTGGCCAGCCTGTCCCCAGTGTCACCCTTTCTGCAGCCCCCTGGGGCTCCAATTCAAGCATCACTGATACACTGGAGCTCCATTCTACTTTGGTGCTACCCACAGCACAGCAGATACATACTCTTAGACTCTTTCCAGTCACCATCAATCTCCTGCCTGTCTCTTAATACCATATCCGAAATGACACATGACCAAGGATTGCTACTAATCTTTGATTTATGATGGTACACACCCTACCATTGATTCTGTTGTACAGAATATCAAAGACGATGTCAGTAACAAAAGCAGGTAACCTTGACTGTCAGTTGCGCATGGAGGGAGGTGCTGCAGCATGAAACACAGTCTCTGAGGTGATATTTCCATATCCCTGTCTTCTCCTCTTCCTCCTTCAGTCTGCAGTGGGTGTTTTCCCTCTTCATCTCAGTCTCTAGCTGGGCTGAGCTCGGTGACAGGCACGTCCAAAAATAGTCCCAGAGGCTGGAGAAGGAGTGTTTAGACAGAGGTTGGGGTTGTGTGTGTACTGCATGTTCAAGCAATAAGAAGGCTCTTAATTGACTGAATCATGATAGCTTATTAATTATTAAAATCTTATTATATCTAGTCACTGAATCCTTAAGTGTGATCACTGTTGGACCATCAACCAGCAGCATCAGGCCCCTTTGCTCCAAGAGACAAAGTGGCAGAGTATGGTAATACAGTTTAAATAAATTGCTAGTTATCCACCAAAGTCAAAGAGTTGCAGACACCATTGCTCTGACTGCACATGAGACAAATGTAAAACAGGCTACTTCATTGTCAGCTTCCTGCAGAGTATGTGTTAGTTATGAGTCCTTCATCACATCAAGGTTTTGTGAAATTCAGCAGTTATTTCCATGCATATTTGCTTAATTTCACTCTGTGTCACTGCATTAGTTGAAGCCCAATGCCTTTTAGGGCACTTCTACACATTTGTTTATATCTATTGGTTTCTAATACAGTTTTCATAAGAGAATCTGTGAAAATTACTATATTTCTTAGTAATATTTCTAAGCCTGACTCGCTGTTTTCCATTTTTGAGTTTCTTCATGAGTGTGCAGTAAATCATGATAGCTGAGAGAGGCACCACTATGGGACTGAAGTGAGCAACAGGCTAAAGGTAGTCTAGGTATTTTAATAATATTTGGTGTTCTTATTTTCTAGTTTTGTGAGGGTTTAAGGTTCTGTAAACACGATTTCAAACAATAATATAGCAGGAAACAACTGTTGTCCTGAGCAGAGAACAGAGTCACGCTCGTTTTCTCTGCTCGTTGTCTTGGTATCTGGTCTAGCAGTGTGTGCATGTTGGTTTATGCACATGTGCAAGTTAGTGCATGTGAGTTCCTCCTGTTAAACCTTGGGGCTCCCTACCTTTACAAAGACACAGGTACACAGAGACCGCCCACACACGAGGTGGCACAGTGCAGTAAGCAGCCTTCAAATAAAAGCCACTTTTCAGAATTTCCACCACAGAAGACACAATATTTTCATCTAAAAAAGCCCTCACACAAGGAAAGAGATAAGACCAGCACACAGGCAGACTGACCGTGGGGACTTCCACCTCAAATCCCGGTCGGACAGTCAAAA